GTGTGTGTGTGTGTGTGTGTGTGTGTGTGTGTGTGTGCGTGTGTGTGTGTGTGTGTGTGTGTGTATTTAGACAGCTAGGCAAGCAACCAAACAACCAGACAAATGAACAAACAAACGAGCACAAAGAGCATATGAAACACACATGGCCTTCTTTCGTATAAGGGGATACAAAAGATGGTTGACAGTATATATAGTACACTGATCACTGGGTCAAATGAAGCAAAATACATAGAGGCATTTGTCAAAGTTGGATAGACTTCATTGCACTTACCACAACCACCAAATACGATCAAGAACGTAGTAGATGATTTTAGACAAATCCTAAATTTTTAGACAAATATTCGACAAAATCTTTACAAACGTGAAAACGAATCGGCAAAAACATAGTTTTATAATGTTATACACGTTTTAAAATATTGGGCATTGGATTCAATTTTTTCAAATTTAATGGGTCGACAATCATTCTTGGGAATTAGATTGTCTTTCGCCTTTTAAAGACCCACATCTGACATCCAAATATATCGTTTACAATAGCTTACAGCCTGCTTCGGCCATTACAGTTTATGTTTTGTAAAATGTTATGTATACAATTTTAATACATCGCACTTAACACTGCATATACAACGATGGTATTTTAAGAGAATAAATATCAACCAAGCGCTACCCTACAACTACAACGTTCTATTTAATCAAGGCCTAGTTTTGACAAATCTGATGTCAAACATTAATACATTATTAGTTTCCAACATGTCAAGATTATGCGAGTGCAATTCTGTGAATCTTGATAACAACTCAGGCTTACGATTTTGATAGAGCAGATAGACTTTTGATTTCTAACCGCATGGTCTTAGTAACTCAACACGTTAAAAAATGTCAGATAGGACTTTGTAGTTTTAAGGTAGCGAAGGGGTTATAATGGGTGTTCGCCTGGCAACGTCTGTGGTTCACATGAAGTATACCAGTGCCTACCAGTCTGGGCGGTATCACCAACGTGTTGGCGATTTGGTAATTTTGGTGGGAGATGGAAAAATGGCGGAGGGCGGCTTGAACATTTTAGCGCCTTAAATGTTATAAAAGTGGGAGATGGCTATTAAATGGATGACAAGCATTGATATATTATAATAGGTATGCAGGCAAAATTACTATAATAACTACCTGTCCAAGACAATCAGTTTAACAACAGTTGAGTAGCACCTTACCCCCCCCCCCTACACACACACTTACAACGCCAAAACTTTACATGTACATTTCCTAAATTATTACAATGCCATTTTGCAAGATTAACACCTGTCTGAGATGATTGTGTTCTCCGTGGATGTTCGTCTAGGACAAGTCGATCGCAAAAAAACCAACTTACCTTGTCGTCCTTTATTGATTCAGTTTTCGAAAATTTCTTTCTCAGTTTGTAATTTAAAGAAAAACAATGCAGTCGGATCATGCAGCCCTTTGGACAACTTACTTTGCAATTGTTTCACGCCATACTAGACAAATGGAGATTGGCAAAAACTTTCAGGAAAAAAACAATTGCCCCCTGCCCAAAAGGTATAGACCAGCTAACCCCCTTCCCCCACTAACCCCTCCTTCACCCCTATACGTATTTAAAACATACAACTCAGTTTCCACACCCAGTCCCATTACTTTTTAAAAAGCCACATATTACATGAAAAGCTACAGCAAGTATTAGTAACATGGACTGACCCGTTAATTATGATCGTCCCCCTCCCGGGGAATAGAATAGAAAAAAAACTCACCTAACTTAATCTGACAATTTCAAACACTAAGTAAACAACGTCCACTGGCTATTACCCAACTACCCATCATCTATCTTCCTAAGACTTCTGAGACATTTTATATTTTACCCAGTCCTCACTTAGATACTCAATGAAGAAACCCCCTTTTTTTAATAAATATTAAATGAACACCTTCTTACCTTAAAGCCAAAGCAATCTTTGTCCTCACGGCTTACAGGGAGAAAACAACGTTTTATTTCTTATGCAAAGACCGCCATTGGGACACATTCGTCAGTCCTAAGATAATGAGACCTATTTTCGTTTTTTATTTTCCTGAGGTCAGAAGTAATGAATTTCGAGATCAGTTATTTTTTTCTTCACAAAAGTTTTAGAAAACGCACAAACGTCATACCTCTTTCCGAACGAGCTGGGGATGTCCATTGTTTGTCTCAACAACAACGACAACAGCTCGTGGTCCCGACATGTATGTCTGTTACGCTCAAGCACACAGACATAGAAGAATAATTTAAGAGGACCCAGGCCTACATGGCGTGAGCAGTGACCTACCAGTCTTAGCGAAAGTTTCGATAGGGACGCTTAAAGTCTTCGACATGTGTCCGAGAATGGTGAAGATGGCAAAGCCAGCAAACACACTTGTCCCCTCGCACAGAAGTGACAGCAGAACAGCGTCTCTGTATGACAGAATTATCGGCGAGATCATCGTCACCGTCGTTGTCATTGTCATAGAAGTCATTTTTAATATCGTCGTCACTATCTACGTCATTTGTCGTCGCAGCCATTGATAGCATTGTTAGGTCCGACCCAATCTGCGCTAAGCATTTTAATTGAATAGCGAATATAAAAAGAATGTGAATGTAAACAAAAATATTGAATTCACTCCACTTAAAATATTACCGTCAAAGTCATAGTGAGATGCCGTTGTCAGCATTGTCCTCAATTACCGGGTGTCTGTTAGAATGTCAAGACTCTTTACCAAAACCATAATATCTGTTCCCGGAGGTCAAGAAAAGTGGTTGCATCAATGTCATGGATATTACTATATTGAACCTATTTACCATTCATAAATAAGACCTGGCTCTTTTCGAATACACAGTAAATTGAATTACTATTTACGAAAGAGGAATATTGTTTTATGGAAAAGTATCAAATCTTTTTAACTGTCAAGTGTACGTTTCATACAAGAAAAAAAGCTTCCTTGTTTGATTCCTGATCTCCACATGTGTCAAAGCCTGGCTTATGAATATTTTCTTCCTATTACAAACCCTTCTCTTCATCGGATTTTTTTAACAACAGCATCTCCTAGACCCCCTCCCCC